TTTCTTGTCATCATTACTCTTTGTTGTTCTTCTTCTTAAAATACTTCGCTAGATTCTTCTTCTTTTTATCTCCTTTTCTTCTACCTCTTCTTCTTCTTGCCATCACTATATACCTCCGCTACTCTCTCTTTCTTGTCATTATTACACTCATTCTTCTTCTTCTTCTTCTTCTTCTTCTTCTTCTTCTTCTTCTTCTTCTTCTTCTTCTTCTTCTTCTCCTCCTTGCTATCACTATACACCTTCTACATTCTTTTTCTTGTCATCATTACACCCTTTCTTCTTTGAATCATTATCCTCCTTGGCTACATTTTTCTTCTTTTTGTTTGCATCATCATCATCATTATCACTATTTTTTGTTCTTGTAATCATCATCATCATCATCATCATTATCATCATCATCATCATCATCATCATCATCATACTTCGCTAGACTTCTCTCGTTCTTGTTGTCCTCTTCCACTCCCACCACTTCTTTACTAGATTATTTTTATTGTTGTTTTTGTTGTTCTTGTCATTTTCTCTTTCCACTATTCTTCATTTTTTATTACTTATCTTCGTTCGGATCTTCTTCATCTTGTCTTTATTTTCCCCTCCCTCCGTCTTCTCCTTTTCTTTCTTCCTTATTCCTTAATCTCTCCACCTCTTTTAACTTGCTTTTCCTTCTCTGACTTTCATATTCTTCATCACTTCTTCATTTTTTTCAGTTTTATATCTTCACATTCTATTTTTCTTCGTTTTTTTTTTTTCATGAACGAATTACTATTTTAATCTTTGATAAATTGTCTTTTATTCTTCCAGTTTTCATCTAATTTCTTTCTTCTTGTACATTTTTTCTTCGCTTCTTTTCTTTTTTTTTTTTAAATTTTTATTTTGGAAACAGCTTTTTTTTTTTTTTTATTTCCCTCTCCTTCTTATTTTCTTTACTCTGATATTTTTGGCCTTTCCTTTCCGAAGAAGACCTACACCATTTCTTCTTCCTCAATATTTCCCACACCAGCTCCCAAATTCCAGCATGTTTAAACCTCTCAACTACGACGCTTTATCTTCACCCCCAATCACTGTTTACCACCAGCATCCCGACAACTCCATCATTCCCTTTTTTTTTTTTCTGTTCGTCACCAACAAAATTCCATCCTACAGAAACTCCCGAGTAAACATGTCATAAAAGTGCACCGGGACGCGTGGTACAGTAGTTTAAAAGCACAAACAAAAGGGACGCACAGGAAATGATGTGGTGGGTATGGTGGTTGGCGCTGGTGAAGCGAGCTGCGGTTGGGTGGTGGAGGTGCGCCAAAAGATGGAAGAGGTTTGGCGGGAAAATATAGTGGATGAGTAAAGATAGTGCGTGTTCAGGGTGCATTTTCCGGAATTTTTGCTTTCCTTCTTCTTCTTCTTCTTCTTCTTCTTCTTCTTATTATTATTATTATTATTATTATTATTATTTTGTCCTTGTGTTCATTATCATCGTTCGTTACATTTTCCTTCTTTTTCTTCCTCCTCCTCCTCCTCCTCCTCTTCTTCTTCTTCTTCTTCTTCTTCTTATTATTATTATTATTTTGTCCCTGTGTTCATTATCATCGTTCGCTTCATTTTTCTTGTTCTTCCTCCTACTACTCCTCCTCCTCTTCTTCTTCTTCTTCTTCTTCTTCTTACTATCATTATTATTATTATTACTTTTTCTCCCTACAATCTTCTGCATATTTTCTATTCTTCCTCTTTTTCTTCTTTTCGTTTTTCTTCTTCTTCTTCTTCTTCTTCTTCTTCTTCTTCTTCTTCTTCTTCTTCTTCTTCTTACTATCATTATTATTATTATTACTTTTCTCTACAATCTTCTGCATATTTTTCTATTCTTCCTCTTTTTCTTCTTTTCGTTTTCTTCTTTTTTCTTCTTCTTCTTCTTCTTCTTCTTCTTCTTCTTCTTCTTCTTCTTCTTACTTACTATTATTATTATTATTACTTTTCTCCCTACAATCTTCTGCATTTTTTCTATTCTTCCTCTTTTTCTTCTTTTCGTTTTTCTTCTTCTTCTTCTTCTTCTTCTTCTTCTTACTATCATTATTATTATTATTACTTTTTCTCCCTACAATCTTCTGCATTTTTTCTATTCTTCCTCTTTTTCTTCTTTTCGTTTTTCTTCTTCTTCTTCTTCTTCTTCTTCTTCTTCTTACTATCATTATTATTATTATTATTCTTTCTTTTTTCTTTTCGTTTTTCTTCTTCTTCTTTCTTCTTCTTTTTTCTATCCTACAATCTTCTGCATTTTTTCTATTCTTCCTCTTTTCTTCTTTTCGTTTTTTTCTTCTTCTTCTTCTTCTTCTTCTTCTTCTTCTTCTTCTATCATTATTATTATTATTACTTTTTCCCTACAATCTTCTGCATTTTTTCTATTCTTCTTTCTTTTCTTCTTTTTCTTCTTTTCTTCTTCTTCTTCTTCTTACTTTTCTTACAATCTTCTGCATTTTTTCTATTCTTCCTCTTTTTCTTCTTCTTCTTCTTCTTCTTCTTCTTCTTCTTATTATTATTATTATTATTATTATTATTATCTCTATTGTTGTTTTTGTTCAGATATTTTTCGAAATGTCCTGCTTTGCTATCTCACTCATGCAACTTTGTTCATTTCTCAGCCTAGGGACCACCATATTGGTTTGCTGGATTTATTTATTTATTTGGATAGAGCCCTTCTTGATATACCAGCAGTGCTAATGAGGATGATCTTCTGAATTTTTTTTTTTATCTTAATGTTGCCATGAAATTTTGTTGGTGTATTTTCTCATCTCTTCCTTGACCAGATCAAGAGCATTCGTACACATTTCTTTCCGGGTGCTGATCAGTGTCCTAAAATCAGAAATGACATCATGACATTTTTCACTGAATAATTTAAAAAAAAAAAACAAAAAAAAAACAAACAAAC